CCAAGAGTAAAGGATTGCTCTCTGTGTGTGGTTTTCGAGTTTGTCAGGTCTAGACTTCCTCCTCTGTCTCCACATCTGGCCTCAGCATCCTGCTCTGTTCACATCACAGTTGATGACTCTTGGGATAAAGTGCCAGCCTGCATGTAGCTGCCCTCGTGTGCATGGATGCATGCATGCATTTTGGATTGGCCCAGCCCCTGAGCAGGCTGTGTGGCAGAGCTTTCATTCCTGACCAGGAAGCCCCCAAATTTGGGGAAGTGCCAGAGGGCCGTTTGTTACTCAGTTTCCCGTATGTGGTATCCTGGATACGTCATGGCTGTGGAATTCTCTGTGTCCTGGGAGGGTTTCTTGTCTGGAAATTATATATCATTTCTTATTTATGGCTGCCATTTTTCAGAGTATTTCAGACTTCAACAAAATGGGACTTTCTTGCATGACGGCACTTTTGAAATCTTAATCATTATTGTGATTTCTATTTGAACAAATAAGAAGACACAGACAATAGCCATGACTTCAGGTCTGTGTGGATGACAGTTCAAAGATTCTGGCCTTGGCTATAGCTCTTTTTTTTTTTTGATTTGGCCATGTATTATACATTGTCTTGGCTCCCACTCCTGTTCAGCAAATGAGATTAAGGCTTTAATCAAGATCAATTTGATTGTCTATAGGACGATAACTGAATGAAGCAGGCATAAAAAAGAAAACCCAGGGAGCCTTCTGGATGTCCTGTTGATGTTTGTTACCCATAAAAGGAAGAATGTGTTTGCTGCAAGGTTCTTTAGGTAGAAATTCAGTAAGTAAGATACTCCCTTCAGTGCTGTGGAGACATAGAGGGTGTTGGAGGCTAGGGTAAAATGGGATGATTAAAAAAAAGATAGTCACTGATATGAAAAAAAGAAAATAGAAATCTGCATTCTAGGAAAAAGCGAAATCTCTGTCCTTAAGCTATTGGTTGCCTTTTTAGGATGTGCTAACATAAACCGTGGATTTATGCTGACCGGATACCTTCTGTTGTTTATGGTCTGCTGTTTATAACTTCTCACTGGTAGGCTCCGCTGAATGCCGAATAATTTGCTGGATGTATGTTTACTTCCTCTTAGTTTTATTTATTATATTTTATTTTTTCTGGAACCAAGGTGTCTCTTTGTAGCTCAGGCTGGCCTTGAACTAAATACAGCCCAGCTTGGGTTTGTGCTTGCAATTCTCCTGCCTTGGTTTTTCAGGTATTGGTATTTATTTATAGGTCTGCACCCTCATGCCAGGATCTCCTTATTTCATTTATTTAATTATGTTATATGTGTACCTGTGTGCATGTGTGTATGGGGGGGGTTACATGCACACATCTGCGCTCATGGGTGTAGAGGCCAGAGGTCCTTACTGGGGGTTTTCTTCAGCTGTTCTCTGCCTTATGTATAGAGACAGGGTCTGTCACTGAACCTGTAGTGTCCTCATTTAGCTAGACTGACTGCTAGCAAGCCTCTGGGATCCTTTTCAGGGGAAGGATCACAGGCAGACACCCCGGTACCGGGCATTTAAGTGATGTCATGATAAAGCACAAGGGGAACCTTGGCGGATTCCATGGCAGGCAGGCAAGAGTGACAGAGGCGGGGGACAAACACGCCAGGCAGACAGAGCTTAAGTGAGAAGTTTTATTAGAAAGGGAAGGGAGGGGGAAGGAAAGAGAAAAGAGGTAAAGAGACACAGAGAGAGGACAGAAGAGAAGAGGGGGACAGGAAAAGTCCTGTCTGCCCCAGGGGAACCACGAGAAAGAGAGCCTAAGTGGGCGGGGGTCTTTCTTTTAAAGGGGTCCTTTGTACCTGGGCTGACCAGGGTACTGCCTGAGTGCATTCTGCCAGGTGACAGGGGCAGGCCAGCATAATTCCTGAATCCTTATGCGTGGGGGCTGGGCATGGCACTCAAGTTCCTGTGTTTGCAAGAGGCAAGAACTTTACAAACGCAAGCATCCTCCAGATTTTTTTTCTGATTTACTATAATGTTCTTATCCATAACACTGTATCTATTAAAAACAAAACACAACAAAAAAATCACCACCGCCAACAACAAACCCCCAAAACAACGAAGACTCGAACCCTTACTAGTTTATTTTCTTCTTGATCCCTGCCCTTTGAAGTTGGCTGTATTAAATCCCAGAGCTGCAAGTTGCAATCTGAACCTAGTTCCTCCACTCTTTAAACACATATGCATTGCAGTGGCGTTCAGACAGTGCTTTGGGGGTGATTATGGAGCACAATATCCTTTCTGTCTTGTGGGCTTTTACTTATGTGGACCGTCCTTTCTGGGACTCTTCCTTTAGGAGCTTCTGTATTCCCTAAAATAGGGCTGTAACCTCTAGGCAAACATCCCTACCTTGACCGTTGACACACTGTTTCACTGTGAGACACAGAGCTCACAGTGGAAAATTTCCCAGAGGAAAATTTTCCGGCTAAGCAAGGGTTTGTTACTATGTGTTTCCAAGTCTTAACAATTGCCGGGCACATTAGACACCTCGTGAATAAACTTGGAATGACTTTGTGTCAGTTTAGTGATAGCTCTGCGGGAAAGCAAGTCTAAGAGTCATGTTGACTGAAAACATAAGAGCTGACTGTTAGCCCTACATTTTTTATTTTTATTATTACTATAGTCAGATTTCAAAGAGAAAACCAAGGTTGTTTTTGTTTTTTTGGTTTTTTTTTTTTTTTGCTTTATGGCAGAGACCAATCTTTAATTCAGTGTCATTATACCCTGTTGACCTGGCCCTTGGAGCCATAGAGCTGAATTATTAGGGATGCTAACACCATACCCCCAAACTATAAATGCTTCAGTCAGTTTCTGTGGACAGGTAGAACAAACTGTTTTCTTCCCCTTTCTCACCCACAGCAGTGGATTTGTTGGGTTTACTCCCAGAAGTTTTGTGAGTGTTTTCAGGACCTCTTTATGCAACGTTTTAGCTTTGAAGGGGTTGGGGCTAATAGACTATGAATTTGAGGTCTCATACTCTCTTCTAGAAGTTGTCCTGTTTGTGTGAAGGGCGATGCCCACTCTGTTTTTATCATGACACACCATCAGGAATAGTTAGGGTATTTTGCTCTCTAAGGTGATTGTCACTGTCAGTTTTTCCTGAACTGGATTACATCCGTGTCCAATACTGAGCCTGTAGCTATGAGTGAGTGTTGGAAGAACCAAGAAATTATTTGTAGTTAGAGACTACTCACCAACATGCTGCACAAAGTGAGAGTTAAGTGTAAGTTGCATTTGTATCTAGATGTTTTCTTTCATATATCTAGAACTTTCAACCGAGTAGCTTTATCACATACCATCCATGCATGGAGCTGCTTCTGCTGTCCCTCATTAGCAGAAACCATGGTGGAACAAAGATTGCTGACTCACTCCCAGGCTCATACAGCCTAGGACCAGGTGCCACCAACGGTGGGCTGAGCCCTTCTGTGTCAATTAACAATCAAAGCAACGGTTAGGATAACAGCCCCCCCCCCGACACGCTACCGGCCAGTGTGATACATGTTATTCTAAAAATGAGGTTTCCTTCAGATAAGTCCAGGCTGGTTCACACTGACAATGAACGGGAACAGTGTTGTCTTAGTCGTGGCTTCTTGAAGCCCTCTGGTTTTGTGTGGTGGCAATAGGGGTGTTGTTTGGTGCGGCTGAGACAGGGTCTTGCTACATATCCCTGGCTGGCCTGTTTCTCACTTTGTATTCCAAGCCGGACATAAGTCAGAATGCCGGTGGAGCCCCAGAAAACCAGCTACTTAAGTGGAAAGACTGTCTTAATATACCAAAACTCATATTTCCTTGTAAAAATAGTCTACATGATAGTAGATGTAACTGTTGGTGAGTCATTAGGCAGTGAGTGGTCAGGCAGTCACTGAGTAGTCAGGCAGTCAGTGGTCAGTCTGTAGAAATCGCAAGCATGGCATTTTCGCACTGAGAGCTGGGTCACAAATGAAGACAAGAAATTTAGCCCTAGTAACGCTTTTGTGCACCAGCATTTGCAAATTTCTTCATGTGTTCTTTGGCCTAGGTGTCTAAAGAGGTCACTTGAATCCAGAAATTTAAAGAAACAGCGTAGGTTATTTGTAGAGAGATGATTTTATCCATTAACTCTTTCCCTGTCTCTGTTTCTGTCTTTCTGTCTGTCTTCCTGTCTGTCTTCCTGCCTGCCTGCCTGCCTGCCTGCCTGCCTGTCTGCCTGTCTGTCTTCCTGTCTGTCTCTGTCTCCCCCAGCTGCCACTGCCTCTCTGTGATCCACATTACTTGATGTGCAGATGCCAGACATCTTTCTTCCATGCACTTTTCTCTGGAGCTGACAAAGTGCCAGCCTTTAGGGAAGTTGTAAGAGACACTCCTCACGTCGCCTTGTTCCTGGGACTTGCACCTCTCCATTTTGGTCAGGCGCACAGTGGTGGTGGCTTGGGGTGCATAGACCACCTCTGCTTTTTTCACTTGGAACGCTGTAACATCTGTTTGGTTTTCAAAACGGGGGTTGGGGGGTGGTGGTGGTGGGGAATCTCACAATGAAGCTCAGTCCAGCCTTGAACTCACCCTCCTGCATCAGTCCCCCTAAGTGCTGGGATTACTGACACCATGTCCAGCTTCACTTGAAACGTTTACCTTACATGGAAAGTTATCCCTGAATGTTTCCTGATGTGGGGTTTCAACTCTATCAGACTTTGACAAAAAAATACTTGTGAAATCTTCCTTAGGATCCAGGAGTTTAATTAGCAGGAAAATGACATTCCTTCTTCTGGTAAATTCTCCAAGCAGTCAATACAAGCACATATGTAATGGAGTAGAGAAATTAACAGGCTGTGAACTTTTGTTTTTGTGTTTTGAGATAAGGTCTCACTATTTGGCTCAGGCTGGACTTGAAGCTGAGAGACTTTTGGCTTCTTCAGCCCATAAAGTGCTAGGATTGTAGGTGAGTGCTGTCGAGCCTGGTGGGATTAACCTGGAGAATAAAAGTCTGTACTAATGTCTCTTTCTAGATTCACACTGACAGGGGCCAATGAAGACGCTGGGTCAGGCGGGTCATATCTGGGAATCGGAATCTTTGACCAGTGACATCATTTCCCGAAGTTGTATACAATACCTGGGAAAATTTCATCCACAAAGTACGTGTTTCTCAGTTGATCCAGAGTTCTGTATTCGTGTGAGAAAGCATGAGACACTAGAATAATGCTGAACTATGTTTTGACTCATGTAAAATGGAATGAAGTTCAAAATTCAAGGAAGCATAAATGAGGTTTTTAACCTATGTGACCATCAAGTGTGATGTTCCATCCCCCTGAAGGCAGGGAGAGTGTATTGCAGTGGATTTCCCCATATCACCAGCCTTGCCCAAGCCACTCCAGAAATGCCATGCTAAATTAAAATAATTTCCCTCTGAGTGAGAGACTTCCCTTTATTCCCAATTGTTGCCCAATGCATTGAAAATTTTTAAAGAAATTCATTCAGTTACTTGCAATTATAAATATGATTATAAGTCATTTGCTTAAGGGCAAATTACTTTTGCTTAGAGTTTAGAAATACCAATTATTCTTCCCTTTCATTACTATTATTTTTTAATTGAGTTTATTTCATATGAATTTTGATAGTTCGAAAGTTATCTTCATTTTTTACAGAGTTCTAACTCTATAATGAAAATGTTTACGTTGAATGTTGTTTCTTTGTCAATAACCTTTTAAAAACTTAGTTGGCCTGGTATTGTTTGTATTTACAATTAATTAAATTTCTGGTTGTATATTTTATGGTCAAGTCTCGGTTTGGGTAGCACCAGAGGATCAACTGTTCATAGATAGATTTATTTGCCTTAAAATGACCAAATGGTATAAGTTGGAGTGAGTGTGCTATCTGATCTGCACTTGGGTTATATGTGTGCCCGGCTGCAAATCCATGCATCTATGTGTGTAAGCAGCTGAATTTATCACTTTATACCAAATTATATTATTTTATTCTATCAGATATTCTTGGTGTTTTTAGAAAGTGAGAAAACTTATTAAAATTGGAAGTATCCTTTTATAACATTCTAGCTGATGTAGGCAGGTTTTTTGCAGGCTCCCTGGCAGATGGTCATGTAGACTGTTCTTGGGATGAAAAAAAATACAGAAAAAAAACACTTGAATAAGTAGATAGGACACAATTGGCATTGCTTTGAGGAGATGAAAATAATCTAAACATGTAAATCTTGGAATTTTGTTCTTAAAGAGAACCCTGGGGCTGGAGAGATGGCTCAGAGGTTAAGACCACTGGCTGCTCTTCCAGGGGTCCTGAGTTCAATTCCCAGCAACCACATGGTGGCTCACAACCTGCAGTGAGATCTGATGCCCTCTTCTGGTGTGCGAGCATTCATGTAGATAGAGCATTCCTATACACAGAATAAATACATTATAAAAAAATTTAAAAAGAAAGAAAACCCTGTTAGTACATCTTATGCCTCTAGACTGACACAGGTATCTGTCATTCGGAGAAGACTGGAGACAGAAAGTCATGTTTCCCAGCCCCGTGTGCCCTGCTACTTGAAGCCATGGTTTAGAGACATGAACCCTTGTTTGAGGGCTATGTTTTAGCTTTCCTGGTCCCAAAGCCTCTTGTCGCTGAGGTTTGGGTTGAGGCAGGGGTATGTCCTGTTTGTTCCTGTAGTGGAGATGCTTCTGGACCTCCTACGGCGTCTTTGTGTATACTTGGGTATATTTTGTGTATACTCTCGGTTTTTCCCAGAGCCACCGTGTCCTGGTGAGGCTGTCTTGGTTGTGTTGGGAGTGCAAACATGCAGCATGGAGCAGGTTTCTAAAGGCCAGAGCTTCCCTGTGTGCTGGGGCCACATTTTCCCAGTGACTCCAACCCTTGAAGAGCGAGGACCTTTGACGTGCTCTATCCTGTCTCTCGAAGAGTGTGCACTGGAGGAGTTACTGGTTGCCTGTGAGCCTGTCTAGCTGCTGTTCAGCTATCACACGCAAGTCCTTTCCTGCTATTTCTCCCTCGTTTGTACTTATAGCTTATGTACGTTTTATAAGCCTTGTTCTTGCCCAGGGCACTTGGGTGAGAGTGGAGTGGGATCAGGTTACACCATATTCTTTCACTTTGGATACACTGTAAGAAACAACAAAGGCTCAGATTTGCAAAGTAAGTATTTTATTGTGCTTTATTATATTGCTATTTTGCCTTTACCTAGATTCATCTCTCCAGCTTCCAAAGAAATATTTTATGGTGTTTGGCAACTATGCAAAATTGAGATTCTGTAATATATGTGAAATAAATAATCATATCTATAAATGATGCTTATGAAGACTGGAAATTGATGTGTTATGTATGGACAGACCATAGCCCCACCCCCTCCAAGCGTGGATGTGATGGTTGTTGAGATTGTTATTGATGTTACCGATGTTGACTTGAGCCTATAAAGGCATTGTCTTTGATAAGATGGCATGACCAAAGCGACTTGTAGAAGAAAGAGTTTATTTGGGTCTTACAGTTTTGGAGGGTGAGTCCATGACCATCGTGTTGGGGAGAATGGCAGCAGTCAGGTGGGCGTGGTACCGGAGCAGTAGTTGGGAGCTCACATCGTGATGCATAAGCACCAGGCAGAGGGGAGAGAGCATGGACAAGAGCGAATGAAAGGGAGTAAGTACTCACTGACAGGGATGGCTTGGGCTTCTGAAACCTCACAGGGGCCATTCTTATTCAAACGCAATGTGTGTAATAGGGCTGGGGTGGGTGATGGTTCCTTGTCTCTTTCTGAACCTGTCTGTAGACTTTAGTTTTCAGAAAGGTTGTGTTGACTTTGGAGTCTACCATTCAGCTTTCAAGACCATGATGCATAGCACCCTAACTGCTAATTGTCCCCCATATACCTTACCAGCACTGAATCAAGTGTATTATGAAAGTGTTGTGTTTTCAGGGTGCTTTACACTGTGAAACATGTTGATATGCTTTTCAGTTATGCCATTCTTAAATATTCTGATTATCAACTGGATTTAAAAAATCATGTTTTGCTAGTGATTAACTACTTAGAGTGTTTGATACAGAAGATATGGGTGTATCTGTATTTTGAACACATTGGTGCATCATAAAATAAATCCACTTGAAGGTCTTAAGGTGAATAAGACACATTGTTAACCCAGAATTTCCGGTTACCCACAAGGGCAGGTGTGTGACGCCTTAAGGTGCAAGCTCGGTGATATTGCCACTTTGCTCTGGGGGACTCAGCCTCTGTGCATCTCCCCCTGTGAATTCATCAGCGGATGAGATGACAGTGAGTTGCATGGAGACGGGTGTGGCTGATTGTCAACATGCAGTCACAAGAGGAAAGACATCGGGCCCCAAGAACAAAGCTCGTTGGGGCAGTTAGGTGGCACTGTTTCCCTTTTCTTTTCAAAGGTTTGACCGAGTGTAATTAAAATATGAGGAGCCCCCCCCCCCAGCACGTGCCTACTAGTCAGATTGAAAACAAGCCTTAGAAAACAGTTGGAGACAGACAGAGCTCCCCCCTCGCCCCCAGGTGAGGGTTTGGTCTTCTGGTCCACTAGCAGAAAGGGGAAAGTGACTGGTCCCTTTATGGTTGCTGAACTCACATTGGAGTTCTCTCTAGAGAGGCTTGGGGCAGGTTTCAAAGGTTACACTCAGATGCTGTCAGTGTGGCAGGTACCCTGGGCCTCGGGTTGGTGCCATGGCCTAGATGTTAAAGACAGGAGTTACCGGTGAGCCTGGGCTACCTGGTTGCACATCATCCAGCCTGCCGCTATGGAGGAGTGCTGTTTGGAAAATTTAAGGTCCTTACCCCATCCCGTTTCTCTTTCCTCCCACACTGTGCTCTCCGTAGAAGTCTGAAACCTAGCTTTAAAAATGTATGTGTGATTTCTTGTTTTGCTTTTTAACATTTAGTGTGTGTGTGTGTGTGTGTGTGAGAGAGAGAGAGAGAGAGACAGAGACAGAGAGAGAGAGAGAGAGAGACAGAGACAGAGAGACAAAGAGAGCAGGCAAGCCTGTGGAGGACAGGAGGTCTTCGGGATTTGACTTTCCTTAACTTTCATCCTGAGGATCCTTGGTGCCGAGTGCCTTTACCCGATGAACCAGTTTTGGTTCAGTTTCCCAGTTTTAAAACCAGGCTAACTAACTTCTGCAAACTGCTTGGGGGTAAGGCTTTAATTCCTACAGGCTGCATGTTGGCCAAGGCTCCAAATCCTGAAGTCTGCATGGGGGGTGGGGTGGCTCACCAGGAGGAGCCTTCAGCACAATGCATTTACCAAGCCTGAGAAGGGGGGATGTCAGTGGCCACACAAAACACAGCCCTCTCTCAAAGGGAATAAGAGTTATTTTATTTGGGGACCATATATGGGTGCCAGTGGCCCAGGAGCACAGATTCATGCTACCCTAAATATCATGCTGTAGTGTGGTAATATTTCCATTGCATTTTTACAGTAATAAGACAGAGGGGATTATAACTACAGAAAGGTTTCCGATATACTGGTGGAAATGTGTTTTGAAATATATATAGGTATGTTATAGCAAAGCAAGGGTACTTAGGATAGTCTTAGCTTTTGGGTTGGTGGAAGCTAAGGATACATTTACATATTCCAGAAGGATTTGCCTTTACAAAGATATTAGGTCACACACAGAGACAGGCGATAAGCAGCCATGTCACAGTAGCTCAAGATACTATGACTTTGGGACTGAATATTCCAACACCCCACAACCAGTCTTGAATGTTTAACACAGAGGGATTGTTTATTTTTTTTCCCTAAGAACTTTAGTTTACATCAGGCAAAGCAAAAAGTCAATTGTAGGAAATTCAGAACAAGCAACCAAGACTTCACATTTCTTTAGAATTTCAGAATGTATCAAGAGTGCTAAATGCGACGGTAGAGTCTGACAGCGTGCCACGGCCTCAGACATTCAGAAGGTCCCTGGTTGCTGGTGTTTCAAGCTGGAAGGTAAGGATAAGAGGCTCCACTTAGCACCCGCTGGCAGGAAGAGAAGCAGGGTAGCCTCACAGACAAGGATGAATTCCACTGCCTCCATTATGGGCCACCTCCATCTTTGTGTCCTAGGTACGACTAATGTGCCATCAGCTCTCCCCGACTGCCATAAATTAACTCATGAGAGGAGGCTTATG